CGTAACTTATGTCTTAAGATACGAAATCAACTTTCAATGACTGCTTTTTTTGTATTTACGAATAATTCTGGTGCCCAAACAACAAACAAGACAACAAACTTACCAAATAAGATCGGCTCGAAGGCTGTTCGACAAAGCTGCGAGACTGAGCACTACGATTGCCAGCAAATGTTGCCGAGATGGATACGAGTAGTACTGCCCGATAAAACGGCAAATTGAGTAGAACCATCTGTAAAAAAAAAGTGAATTTTGAAAAACTAAGAACTAAAAAAATTTTCGTCTGCTCCTTGAATCAAATACACAAGGTGAAATACACGTTCCCCGTGATAAGTTTTTGAAAATTTGACGTTGGTGATTGCTAAACGTCTGGGAAACCAACGATGCGATAGGATTCATTCGAACGACTATATGAAGTTACATGAATGGGGAAGTTTTAAGACCAAGAAGGACTAAAAAAATGCTAGCTGCCGAGAAAAAACCTGAGGATAAAGCTATAGCCACTAAAAGTGCCAAAATATGAAGTCTGCATACCCATTCCCTTAACTTTTTAGAAGCAAAATATTGTCAGAATCAAGCCCTGTCCGCCAAATTCTTGACCCAGTGAAAGGCAGAGGCACTAAGAACAAGGCCGAATGGTAGCATTCGTCAAATGCAAATACCCTCAGGCAAAACTATCAATGATTTCCTTTTGCAAAAGTTGTCTCGAAATAAATCAATAATTATGAAATGATATAAAATCCGAAAACAATTTTTACAGTTGCGATAGAAGAAGCAATCGCAGAGACCAATATATAAAGCAGACTACGTTGCTGTTCTCGGCAATTCCCAACAACATAAACACCTGCAACACAGCAAACCTTAACTTCAAAAAAAAAAGCATTTTTTGAATAATCCACCACAAAATCCCTCAAATAACTGGGTTAAAATATGAAAAATCACACATACACACAAAAAAAAAGCCCCGACTAAGTTGTGCACAGATACAAAATTTCTCACCTTGTGTGATACCGGCTGCAACGATCAGGGCCAGCAATGCGCGATACTTGGTACCAAAAAGAAGGACACCGGCACAAGAGAATAAGAACCCGATGAAACAACCAAATAAAAACTGCGCCAAAAAACGACCCAACGACGTTTTTACTTTACAACTTCTATTTTTTTCGAATCTAAAAAAGAAATAAGAGTCGGTGTTAAAGCTAAGCAAAACAAAAATAAATGTCTCCATATCTAAAAAAAAATTTTTTTTCTAAATCTATTATTTACCGGGCTGCCTTTGAAGTTTCTGATAATTTTCCTCCGTGATAATTAAAAATTTGGTGCTTGAATTTGCTAAATTCACAAAACGGTTCTTTTCAAATACATTTTCGTATTTTTTTGGAACAAGCAACAAATTTTGGTTGCTCACTAATCAGAAGAAACAGTACTAGACAAAAACAGCGAAAGTCAACGATTTTCTGAAACAGTCATCAAACAAGTGATCTCTGAATCAAAATGTCCGACAAGGAAAATCACATCTATCAAGTACTGCAAATCTGACTTCTATCAAAACAAACCCTTCTAATTTTCGGTTCTGCTCCGCAACTCGGCCATTCAGAGTAAAAACATCAAAGAATACGCCAAGTAGAAAAAATCCAAATGTCGCAAAATATACGTAAGCTTCGAGAGGTTCATGCAAATACAGAAGATGCAGACCCAGTGGCCCACCGAACATCAGCAACAAGCGAGCTCGAAGCGCATTCATCCCCGCACCACTTTCGTCCTTCGCAGTCAACTGCTATGCCGCTATATCTTCTCCTAAAAGAGCAGTTTTTTCCGGAAAAATCTTTCAGAGATCAGAAGAAAAAAGTCAAATACCGAAAGAGTTATCGGTTGTTGAGAACACAGTCATGTACAGGGCGCGTCATGCACTACTGAGACTGGAAACATCTTCAAACACGTAGAAAACAAATAAGGGATAAAAAAAGAAATACAAAAAATTAGGAAATACTGCCAAGACTAACAAGAGCTTCAACAGGTTTTATAAGCAATTCCAGTATTTTTAATATAATTTCAGTAATTATACACAATTCATTTCTGTACGGATTTTTAATATAAAAAGTGTGGATGAAAAAATAAATTATACAAAAAAAAGAAAATGAATCAGCAAAGGTGCGTCCATTCCCAGCAGATCTGTCACTTTAGTAGCACTTCAGGACGCCCCAGTAGCAAATTCGTGCGTAGGAAATCTTGAAACGACTGCCGAAACAGCGAACTACGTGCAAAAAAAAAAGCTTACGTTAAAACAATGCATACAAGGCTTAGAATTTCCATCACGGAATTTCACGCAGAAACAAAAGTGAGACTTTCCAACAACGAGTTACTGCACGGAAAAAGTACAAACCTGTAAATACATCCCAAGTATGTTCGAAGAAACAACAGAAATTCGCCTTCTGCTGCAATACGCGATAAAAAAGCTTCAATCATTTCGCATACGATTGGATGTCTCCGTCTCATCAAAACATTTTACCCGTTGAAAAATACAAAATTCACCCGCATCCATGCCTGAAAACTTTTTTGGCTTAATTAGTTATAAATCCACAACAGCTCAGTTAAATAAAAAACCCAGTACCCAGGTTACAGCGAAGGAAATTTTTTCAAACTCCTCCTAATGAAGTGGTAATACAGGAAGAGATGGATGCTAGCTTTTGCTGAAACACATGCTTTTTTTTTGAAATAGTATACAATATCACCTTAAGCTTTGTTAAATGCTTTGGTCTGGAGAACCAATAAACTAGTAAAATCTTCAGGAGATGAAACGAACGTCAAAATAACCAGCCGGCCGTAACAGGCTATCCAGGCTACCCACCGACCAAAAAACTAGTTAAGTTGCTAACTCAAGAACCAGACAGCTGCAAATATTATGAGATAAGCAGATACAGTACGGTGACTGGTAACACCGCAATGAAATACATATCTGATAAAAATTCACCCAAACCAAATTTTTTATTCGCATATATTCCAGCAAAAAGAGGCAAAAATATCTGTATATTAATAATCATAAAACTTTTTTTTTTTTAAAGAAAAACCAGTGTTAAAAATAATACTATGCATTTATGAAGCCACAATTCCCAGCACCTAAAGGACCCGATCTTTCTTCGGCGGTGGTATTAAATCTTCAAAAAGGTTATTCGTTAAGTTCCAGACTCAAAATTTTCCTGCCACTTCTTGCAGATTTTGTCGAACAATTCAATGGCACTAAGCACAGAACCCATGCGACTTTTGTGAAAATCCTCAAAGCGCATTTTTCCCTATAGCTTCGAGGAATTTTGGCTGGAAAAATTAATTATTCACAAAAAAAAAAACGTAGAAACACACACAAAAAAAGGATTCACAATTAATGTGGAAATCATGGCGATTTTGAGAGGGAAAAGAAGCAACAACAAGAAATCAGACAAAGAAATCCAACAGAATAAACATACACACAAATCTATACTGCTGTTCAGCTTTTTTACTAATCCAACCTATTCTTCTTCGCTGAAACAAACTTACCTGGATATTCGAAACGCAATACGAAATCAACAAAATGAGAAAAGCGGTTATGAAAAATTAGAGCGCAAATCGATCATGTGAATGACGAAAGGAACTGTCAATAAAAAGAAAATATGAGATATGAAAGCGTAACTATATCACATAGCATATGGATTTTACGAAGTAATTTACACGATTAAATCAAACCATTGACAAATTGCGCATTCGCATTGATTGGATAATGGCCTGGAACCAGGTATTTCCGTGAAAAATATGCCCGGACGACAACACAGCTAAGCTAATCCCTCAATGCTAGCCGAAAAGATCCTGACCGTAACAATCCTAACTGCTTACTTTCAAAGGCGCTAAACTCTCAGTTTTCGGCTATCTCAAGGAAACCGTACTTTCTACTCAAAATTGCCCTTATGCAATCGTTTTGCCGTAACGTAACCTGATCAGCAAATCGCAACTCACTTTAGCCGCTCCCAGAAAGTCCCCTTCGTTACATTTAGGCCGACACATACCAATGTAAGATTAACTAAATGATAACATATCTAAAGCAATTACGACAGGAAGATTAACCAGTGACGAATTTCACCAATCAGTTTTTATGACTTTACAAAAAATTCATCTTTTATGGGGAGATGAATAAGAAAAGACTGCTTTACGACACTGTGTATACATCAGCACTAATCAATCTTCACGGCAGCATAGATCTTGCAAACGAATGAGTATGCAGCATAGAAGCCAATGGTACCGGTGAGAACCCAGAATGCCAGAGCCATCAGAAAGCTGTAGCTGAAGTACAAAAGCGTCGGAATAAAGCCCACTATGTTCAACTGAAAATAAAAAAACAATTATAGCGGCTGCTGCACAAATATTTTAACACAAATCAATAAAGCGCTGCTTAAGAAGTATGATTAGTAATCTGTACTCCAAGAAAATTTAGGCCAGAATATGAAAAAAGTGACTGCGCGATAGTGGACTCAATTTTGACTTAATTTGAGGGAGAACACTAATGAATGACGACCTCGAAAATACGGATCCAGTGGTAAACAAATTCGCTAGAAGTTTTCCGAACAGCATTTGTTCATTTACAGATTCTACATTATCTGTTATCTATCTATCTGACAATATATTATTAGCTGACAACATTATCTATCCAACTTGACTAAAAAAAAATACAGTAACAATTTAAAGCCTCAAAAATTACCTTGCTGATGTAATAGAATGTTGCGTAGCCCATCACTGCAAACAAAAATTATTAATAAAAAAAGAATTTATATAATTCCATCCATTAATTTATTGTGTTTAATATGATAAAAGAGTACTTCTTCGTGGCAATATTTAAGCTGATGTCAAATAAGCCATCTCA